GATCTATTGACTCTGCTTTGATCTGCGACACAATCTGGAGATTGTTATGGGGGTAAAACTCTGAGGACATTTACACTTGAAACAAAGTCTGGTTCCCATCTGGATTACAGAAAGATTAGGAGGAATCTCTCTCACTCAGCTCAACAGGAACTGGGAATCTATGCAAACATATTGGCAATTAACGATCAGATAATACTTCCCACCTGCTGTCTAACAAATGCCCCCCCTGCTCTCACACAGGATGCATTATTCAAAGGAACCTGTCCTCTTTAAAATCCTTTTCACCGGGAATGGCAAAAATGTAGATCCTGAGTTGTAGAATGATATCTTTCCATATGCTTTGCTAGAGTAGAAATGTTTCAAATGTCTGTGTTGTAATACTCCCATGTGAGGGGAGACCGGGACAAAGACCCTCCTTACACCATAACCTTATAGCTGCAGTCAGGGCAGCCATCAGGGCATGACAACCGTAACGGTTGTCATGGTCCCGGCGGTCCTGGGGGGCCTGGACTGCTCAGGTCGTCCGGGCCCCACATTCAGTGGTGTACATACCGGGTCGCAGGGGGCCTTGCGACCCGGTATGTACCCACTGGGCCAGCCTCTTCTCCTGGTGGGCCCAGCAGCCGGTCACCTCAGGGCCCCCCAGAGGCTGGCCCTGCTGACACCCGGTGGGCGCGCGAGGGAGCACTCTCCCTGGCTGAGTGCTTCCTCTTCAGCTCCCTCGCGCGCCGCGTACTGATGCCGGCACCGGAAGATGACCTTGCAGCCCTTACACAAATTCACACAATGTATTCCTTACACACATCAGGACATCCCCCACACACACACTCCACCCCCTGTGAACAAACTCATTGGTGGAACATGAAGGTGGACCCTGGGACCCAGACCTTGAGCTGTGTAAAGGGCCCCAAAAAATGGAGCTGCTTCCCGTTCTCCCAGAACATTGATTTTTGTGACCACAGTTACAAACCGCCTCCAGAGAGCCTGTTCTGCACCAGACCAGTGGAGCCAGACTGCAGCTAGAGCCCATCATCATCCTCATCTGGTTGTAAGTAGGCAATCTAGTATATTATTCGTGGCACTAAGCTCTAATTTACCTCACATTAAAGAAACACTATAGTCCCCAGAACCACTGCAGCTTAATGTAGTGGTTCTGGTGTCTATAGCCTGTCCCTGCAGGCCTTTTAATGTAAACACGGCGGCACTGCAGCACTAGCGTTAGTTAACATGGCAGATCATATGGGTGGGGCATTGTGATGTCACATGGGGGGGCGGCAAACTTTACTTTTGCCTAGGGCGGCAAAAATCCTTGCACCGGCCCTGCAGACACTGCATTCCTGTGGGCGGACTCAGGGGGGGGAGGAGGGGGCAGCACTTTGGGCGGACTCGGGTGCAGGCACTGGGGGGCCCAGACCTTGAACTGTGTCAGGGGCCCCAAAATTTCTGATTGCAGCCCTGGCTGCAGTTATAATACACTGTGTGCGGGGAGACAGGGGACCTCCTTACACCATAACCTTATAGCTGCAGTTATAATACACTGTGTGCGGGGAGACAGGGGACCTCCTTACACCATAACCTTATAGCTGCAGTTATAATACACTGTGTGCGGGGAGACAGGGGACCTCCTTACACCATAACCTTATAGCTGCAGTTATAATACACTGTGTGCGGGGAGACAGGGGACCTCCTTACACCATAACCTTATAGCTGCAGTTATAATACACTGTGTGCGGGGAGACAGGGGACCTCCTTACACCATAACCTTATAGCTGCAGTTATAATACACTGTGTGTGTGCGGGGAGACAGGGGACCTCATTACACCATAACCTTATAGCTGCAGTTATAATACACTGTGTGCAGGGAGACAGGGGACCTCCTTAGACCATAACCTTATAGCTGCAGTTATAATACACTGTGTGCCTGGAGACAGGGGACCTCCTTACACCATAACCTTATAGCTGCAGTTATAATACACTGTGTGCGGGGAGACAGGGGACGTCATTACACCATAACCTTATAGCTGCAGTTATAATACACTGTGTGCAGAGAGACAGGGGACCTCCTTACACCATAACCTTATAGCTGCAGTTATAATACACTGTGTGCAGGGAGACAGGGGACCTCCTTACACCATAACCTTATAGCTGCAGTTATAATACACTGTGTGTGGGGAGACAGGGGAGTGCCTTACACCATAACCTTATCGCTGCAGTTATAATACACTGTGAGCGGGGAGACAGGGGACCTCATTACACCATAACCTTATAGCTGCAGTTATAATACACTGTGTGTGGGGAGACATGGGACCGCATTACACCATAACCTTATAGCTGCAGTTATAATACACTGTGTGCGGGGAGACAGGGGACCTCCTTACACCATAACCTTATAGCTGCAATTATAATACACTGTGTGCGGGGAGACAGGGGACCTCCTTACACCATAACCTTATAGCTGCAGTTATAATACACTGTGTGCGGGGAGACAGGGGACCTCCTTACACCATAACCTTATAGCTGCAGTTATAATACACTGTGTGCGGGGAGACAGGGGACCTCCTTACACCATAACCTTAGAGCTGCAGTTATAATACACTGTGTGCAGGGAGACAGGGGACCTCCTTACACCATAACCTTATAGCTGCAGTTATAATACACTGTGTGCGGGGAGACAGGGGACCTCCTTACACCATAACCTTATATCGGCAGTTATAATACACTGTGTGCGGGGAGACAGGGGACCTCCTTACACCATAACCTTATATCGGCAGTTATAATACACTGTTCAGTTTTCACAACAAAATATAAACATTATGGAGGATTTAAAGGATCTTAACATGTATAGCTTGGAGGAAAGATGAGACGGGGGATATGATAGAAACATTTAAATATATAAAGGGAATGCATCGGTGGATTACTCCCTCTACGACATGGAAGACCTGGGCTATAAAGGGCCACTCAATCCACTGTGGGAATATCACTCCCTGTCACCACAGCCTACTCACCAGCCTATTGGCGGTCCTCCATCACAGTCTCTCTTGTCACACAGATCAGGGAGGACTTCAAGGGGTTTACTGCACGCCTGGAAACAGTTGAGCAAACTACAACAGCTCACACATCACAGGTCTTGGAGCTACAAAAGAAAGTCAGTGATCTCACCCTGTCCATGCAACCCTCAGCCACGAACTAGCTGCCATGGAAGACAAAAGAAGGTGGAAACACTCGAAAATTAGAGGCCTAGCAGACAGCGTTACTACTGCAGAACTGCCTCATTTTTTGCGCAGACTTTTTGCGGCCCTCCTGCCACTTAAATAGGCAAAAAGCATTTTGTTAGCCAGTATGTTCCGCCTCCCTTAGCCTTCATCAGCCGTGACTCAGCCACTAGCAACGTACTAATAAAATTTCAGAATAGCCTGGACAAGGCTGCCAACCCCATATCGGTTCATAGACATGGACCTTGCATTTTTCTCCGACCTTTCCCGTATGACGTAGCAATGGAGAAAATCCCCTCACGTTCTTATCAAACAGCGCAGAACGTGGATTACAAAGTGTCCGATGTCTCCGAGATGGACGGTATCCTGACCAGGCTTGGTCTGCATCGCACTCCCATACCTATAACACCAGCCTGAGACCCGACCAACATAATCCCATTCCTTCCAGCCTCCGAGAGCATGACCTGCAGTTACCTGATTGCAACGCCCTCTTTTTGTTTTGTTTTTTATGCTTTAACTCCAATTTTTCTACCTATTCAAAGAGTCCATACGTGTTTTTAAGTTTATCAGTTCCTTATCAGAGTTAGATATATTTAGTTTTGTTTCTTGGGGTTTTACCCCCACCAAGGCATTGGGAAACCCCTGTGGCTTTCCTGGGTCATGACCCCGAATAATCCGGTTACGCTAGCTCCCCTATTACCACCACCCCCCCTCTAGTTCCACACTAATCATTTCTAACTTTACTCCAACATGTGGAGCTGCCACCCTTGAGCGCACCGCTTCCCATATTTTTAAGATCGTGTTCACCTTTGTTTTTGTTTTTTATTATTATGTTGTGATTCCATTTACTGAACCTACTGCTTCTAACAATTACACTAAGTGCCTCGGCCGGCGGTTTACTCCGTTTACTTAGTTTAAGTTTATCAGTTCCTTATCAGAGTTAGATATATTTAGTTTTGTTTCTTGGGGTTTTACCCCCACCAAGGCATTGGGAAACCCCTGTGGCTTTCCTGGGTCATGACCCCGAATAATCCGGTTACGCTAGCTCCCCTATTACCACCACCCCCCCTCTAGTTCCACACTAATCATTTCTAACTTTACTCCAACATGTGGAGCTGCCACCCTTGAGCGCACCGCTTCCCATATTTTTAAGATCGTGTTCACCTTTGTTTTTGTTTTTTATTATTATGTTGTGATTCCATTTACTGAACCTACTGCTTCTAACAATTACACTAAGTGCCTCGGCCGGCGGTTTACTCCGTTTACTTAGTTTACTCTAACGTCAGCCTTAAGATTAAATGTATGTCACTAACCATTATATCTCGACTATTGTATCACGTTATGTCTCTTATGTACCTGACTGTGGAAACAATAAATAATTTATAAAAAAAGAAGAAAAACTACCACAACAATCATCGTCTTAAATTAGAGGGACAAAGGTTTAAAAATAATATCAGGAAGTATTACTTTACTGAGAGGGTAGTGGCTGCATGGAATAGCCTTCCAGCTGAAGTGGTAGAGGTTAACACAGTAAAGGAGTTTAAGCATGCGTGGGATAGGCATAAGGCTATCCTAACTATAAGATAAGACTAGGGACTAATGAAAGTATTTAGAAAATTGGGCAGACTAGATGGGCCGAATGGTTCTTATCTGCCGTCACATTCTATGTTTCTGTGATTTCTGAGACAAATGAACACAAGATTAAATAAAAGCAACAAAGAGGAAGAAGAGCGAGAACATTTATTGAGTTTCTGCCTGTGCTTGGCACTCAGAGACAGAGTACATAGAGCACAGTGTATGTTACAGATTAATCACTGCTGGCTTTCTATGCACTTAAATAACAGTATCTACAACATTTCAAAACACAAATCTCATTACGTTATACTTGTCACACAAATTCAGTTTTGGATATATATATATTTATATATATTTATATATTTAGCATTTTTTTTTCAAAGAATCAGTGGTTTATCAGATTATCTGACAGAAAGCTTTAAGGCATTGTTCAGGCCAAAGGCAGTAAACACATGGTTCGCTGGTTGATTTTTTTAAATGTCCTGTTATCTTGAAATGTTTTGAAACCGTCACTACGACATTCTCTCTGTAACAGAGGTTTAATGCTGGTTATTTAGACATTCCAGCAGTTCTGCACATGCTGATGTGTATAGACTTGATATATACAGGCAGGACTGCGATGGGCCGTTGGGCTCTATAAACCGAGACAAAGGAACGTGAAGAAAGGACTGAATGAGAAAACCAGTGGTGTTACACAGCTGATGTAAATAGTGGGTTCAGGCACTCTCCATGTGTACATTCAATCAATGTGAAAAGCTGTTGTAACTCATTGCTTATTGACCAAGGTGGGCTAACCTGCTGCTGCTGCTGTTATCTTCAGCTTGAACAGCAACCCAAAAGAAGGTGGTAGATCTGAATAAGCAAAACCACACCATTAAGCTGTAGCCACTGACATCTCAACGTGTGCCCTGTATGTGCGATCTATGATAAAAATGCAAAGCCTTAGGTTGATGCATGTGAACATGTATCAAGGTCCCAGGGTTGTGTCTAAGAACAAACATCAATATATTTCCTTTAAGAGAAGAACAGACAGTGAGGTCTTTGTTAATGGGTATAGACATCCATAAAGGTTATAGACTCTGAAAAGTACTTGTATTGAGGTCTTTGGATCATGAGAACATTCAATAAAATGTTTGGTTCATGAGGAACCAAGGTCTTTGGTTTCTGCATCAAGGTCTTTGGTTTTTGAAAAACACAAACATCGAGGTCTTTGGTTCATGAGTTAAGTCATGTATCAAGTCCATATACCAAGATCTTTAATTCCTGAAAGTTTGCATGTATTAAGTCTACGTTGCGTTATGTTTAAAGGAGATACATTATCCAGGACCCATCACCAATTTCTGAATACAATGAAATATAACACAGAGAATTGTGAGCATCCCGACCACTAGATCAGTGTTAAGTAGAGAATACAAATATATAATTTACTGAGTGGCTGTTCTATTTTGTTTTTTGGTGATCCAATGCATTTATTCTTGTCTGAGCTGTCATCCTGAGATATATATCAGACGTGTAGATCGAGGAAGTAATAGGTGATGGACACAGATTGTTTAAGGCAAAGAGAGATATTTTATCCCCAGAAACGTATTGTGTCAGATTATGTTTGTTCATGAAGAACATTCAGATTCAGTCACATTATAAATGGAGACCACAGCTGGAGGGAGGTGTTTGGTCATAAAGCTCTATATATATGTTCTGTAGTGTGGCCCTGTGACAGGTGGAAGAAGCTGTGTACAATTCTTTACTTTTTACTTTGCACAGTCATGGCTCTTTATCATGACATAGTGCAGGCTGTATAGATATTGGGGTGTGACATAGCGTAGGCCATATAGATAATGGGGTGTGACATTGTGCAGACCGTATAGATAATGGGGTGTGACATTGTGCAGACCGTATAGATAATGGGGTGTGACAAAGCGCAGGCCGTATAGATAATGGGATGTGACATAGCGGAGGCTGTATAGATAATGGGGTGTGACATCACACAGACCATATAGATAATGGGATGTGACATAGCGGAGGCTGTATAGATAATGGGATGTGACATCACACAGACCATATAGATAATGGGATGTGACATCACACAGACCATATAGATAATGGGATGTGACATCACACAGACCGTATAGATAATGGGAGGTGCCATAGAGCAGGCCATATAGATAATGGGAGGTGACATAGAGCAGGCCATATAGATAATGGGAGGTGACATAGCGCAGACTGTATAGATAATGGGAGGTGCCATAGAGCAGGCCGTATAGAAAATGGGGTGTGACATAGTGCAGACCATATAGATAATGGGATGTGACAAAGCATAGGCCATATAGATAATGGGGTGTGACATCGCACAGACCGTATAGATAATGGGAGGTGCCATAGAGCAGGTCATATAGATAATAGGGTGTGGCAAAGCGCAGACCATATAGATAATGGGGTGTGACATAGCGCAGGCCATATAGATAATGGGGTGTGAAATAGCGCAGGCCATATAGATAATGGGGTGTGAAATAGCACAGACCGTATAGATAATGGGGTGTGACATAGCACAGACCGTATAGATAATGGGATGTGACATAGCGGAGGCCGTATAGATAATAGGGTGTAACATAGCGCAGGTCATGTGGATAATGGGGTGTGACATCACACAGACCATATAGATAATGGGAGGTGACATAGCGCAGACCGTATAGATAATGGGAGGTGACATAGCACAGACCGTATACATAATGGGAGGTGACATAGCGCAGACCGTATAGATAATGGGAGGTGACATAGCACAGACCATATTGATAATGGGAGGTGACATAGCGCAGACCATATAGATAATGGGAGGTGACATAGCGCAGACCGTATAGATAATGGGAGGTGACATAGCACAGATCGTATACATAATGGGAGGTGACATAGCACAGACCGTATAGATAATGGGAGGTGACATAGCACAGACCATATAGATAATGGGAGATGACATAGCACAGACCATATAGATAATGAGAGGTGACATAGCGCAGACCATATAGATAATGGGAGATAACATAGCACAGACCATATAGATAATGAGAGGTGACATAGCGCAGACCGTATAGATAATGAGAGGTGACATAGCGCAGACCGTATAGATAATGAGAGGTGACATAACGCAGACCGTATAGATAATGGGAGATGACATAGCGCAGATCATATAGATAATGGGAGGTGACATAGCGCAGACCGTATAGATAATGGGAGATGACATAGCGCAGACCATATAGATAATGGGAGGTGACATAGCGCAGACCATATAGATAAGACATAGCATGAGACCGTATAGATAATGGGAGGTGACATAGCGCAGACCGTATAGATAATGGGAGATGACATAGCGCAGACCGTATAGATAATGGGAGATGACATAGCGCAGACCATATAGATAATGGGAGGTGACATAGCGCAGACTGTATCGATAATGGGAGGTGACATAGCACAGACCATATAGATAATGGGAGGTGACATAGCTCAGACCGTATAGATAATGGGAGGTGACATAGCGCAGACCATATAGATAATGGGAGGTGACATAGCACAGATAATGGGAGGTGACATAGCACAGACCGTATAGATAATGGGAGGGATGACATAGCGCAGACTGTATAGATAATGGGAGATGACATAGCGCAGACCGTATAGATAATGGGAGAGATAGAGACATAGCGCAGACCGTATAGATAATGGGAGGTGACATAGCACAGACCATATAGATAATGGAAGATGATATAGCACAGACCATATAGATAATGGGAGGTGACATAGCGCAGACCATATTTATAATGGGAGGTGACATGGCACAGACCATATAGATAATGGGAGGTGACATAGCACAGACCGTATAGATAATGGGAGGTGACATAGCGCAGACCGTATAGATAATGGGAGGTGACATAGCGCAGACCGTATAGATAATGGGAGATGACATAGCGCAGACCGTATAGATAATGGGAGATGACATAGCGCAGATCATATAGATAATGGGAGGTGACATAGCGCAGACCGTATAGATAATGGGAGGTGACATAGCACAGACCATATAGATAATGGAAGATGACATAGCACAGACCGTATAGATAATGGGAGGTGACATAGCGCAGACCATATTTATAATGGGAGGTACATAGACAGACCATAATAATGGGAGCTGACATAGAGACATATAGATAATGGGAGGTGACATAGCGCAGACCATATAGATAATGGGAGGTGACATAGCACAGACCGATAGATAATGGGAGATGACATAGCGCAGACCGTATAGATAATGGGAGGTGACATAGCACAGACCATAGAGGTGACATAGCGCAGACCGTATAGATAATGGGAGGTGACATAGCGCAGACCATATAGATAATGGGAGGTGACATAGCGCATATAAATAATGGGAGGTGACATAGCGCAGAATGTATAGATAATGGGAGGTGACATAGCGCAGACCATATAGATAATGGGAGATGACATAGCGCAGACCGTATAGATAATGGGAGGTGACATAGCGCAGACCATATAGATAATGGGAGATGACATAGCGCAGACCGTATAAATAATGGGAGGTGACATAGCGCAGAATGTATAGATAATGGGAGGTGACATAGCGCAGACCATATAGATAATGGGAGGTGACATAGCGCAGACTGTATAGATAATGGGAGGTGACATAGCGCAGACTGTATAGATAATGGGAGGTGACATAGCGCAGACCGTATAGATAATGGGAGGTGACATAGCGCAGACCGTATAGATAATGGGAGGTGACATAGCGCAGACCGTATAGATAATGGGGTGTGACATAGCGCAGTGTGACTGCATTAAGGGAGAACTTTCCTATCAGAGAATGGATGAGGAGAGTAAGGATGAATGAGACTACATTTCCTATCAAAGTAAGAATGAAGAGAAGGTGTTTCACTATAGACAATGAAGAGACGTACTTGTGATGATATTTTTCATGTTAAACCTGACCTGTTTGCTCTCAATGCAGGCTCACCATACAGTGGGAGCCATGTCAGGGTAGGACGGACCCTGATTGGTATAAAATGGTAAAAAATCAAACATTTCTTTCTCCATGTTCAATAATTTCTCCATTGCCTAGAACATTTTATATAAATGCAATCCTCTATTTATAATCAGTTGAAACATCATTTTCCATGTAAATAATTTAATTTTAGTGATAGAAAATCTTAACTCTTCAAGTGATGAGGAGAGAGCTTCTTTTTCAGCACTGAAAGAGTTAATGACATTTTCCAAATTATCAGGTGCCCCCGTGCCCCTGAGGCATGTGTTTTGTACTTTTTTCCCAACATTAAGTAGCTCCTGAACTCAGATAACTGTCCAAACATTTTAAACTCACTTTCCACTTCAGTACACTCGATGGTTTCTAAATAAATCAGAATATTTTATCTCCCTCATTTGCCAATAATGTCTAATCTTCATCCGCTGATCTCCCAGCAGCCGTTCCTACACACAAAGTCACAAGTTCATCCCAAACATACAACTATCCAAAGTAAAAATGGCCAAATACAGCGGTGAGAGAGCACAGTCTCATTTTCCATGCCACTCTTAGATGGATCATGCTTTATCATGGAGACTATTTGATTGGGCATCATAGTATTCAACATGATACAAACCACTACTGGCGGATCCCGCCCGAGCCACACACTAATGTTTCAATGTCCACCCTACGTTACTAAAAGGTTGTCCATCCCAGTGAGTTGAGTTTATCAAAGTCTCCCACGTTTTAGACTGGTGCAAAAACAAAAACTTCATCTAACTGTAGAGGAAGTATTAAGGGGAGATTTGATAAACTTTCCCAATGAGGTGGATAGTGTTGGAACCTTAAAGTATTAATCAATTTGTTAAGCTTCTTCAGGAAGTTGTTGGGTATCAATCAAGGCCACTAAAAAGTGTAACACATAATTAGTCTATTTAACGAGTCCACGTGACTACTCGTTATAAATGCTGCACGTATTTTGCTCTGTTTGCTGTCCCAAAATGTGAGAACTGGATTTCTATCAAGAATCCTCAGGCTGATATTGTCCTTTTAAGGCACGTATGGTTCAGAATGTCTTTCTTTGACCAACCGCACCTCAATTAAACCATGTGCACAGACATCTGTGAGGAGCCAGGGACAGCGCCGTACTGTCTGCTGTCACAGGTGTTTGTTGCCTGCTGATTGGCTGAAGGGCTTCCAATCATGTGCATCGCCTCCATGCCAGTGGAGAGGTACTGCCTGTCCCCAAAAGCAACATTGGATGGAGAAGAGCAGAGTAAAGTGCCTTGGGGTGCAGCGAGTTTTTCTGGGCTTGCCGCCAAGCGGGGAGAGGCTGGGAAGTTGTATCCATACAGATTATAAGGATTGTGAATAGAGAATGCGTTGTAGGAGCTCTGCTGCATGTGGCTGCTACCAAACATGTGTGAGGATGAGGAGCTGGAGGAAGGGCTGCCCGTCTGCATCACATACTGAAACTGGGAACTTGGATATGACCCCAGCTGGCCACCGTACGATTCCATTTTGCTGTTGTTTTGTAGAGATGTTGAAGTGGGCATCCCAGAGATCAAGGATGAAGTCCTCTGGGGCATAAAGGTCTCGGAGGCTTGAGGGGCAGAGGAGTTTCCACTCTGCAGTCTGTTGTATCCACTATCACTCAGTCCAGGGTAGTTCTGAAGAGCTGCCATGTTGCTCCTGGCACAGGCCGGGTACTCTGAGAGATTTAAGTTGCACAGCTGGTTTTCTCTACAGCCAACATTGAAGGAGTTGGGTGCCAGGTGGAAGGTAGGTGGTGAGCATGATGGGGAGAGCAGGTGGGAGGAAGGAGACGGTGTCCCAGTGCTGGAAGTGGTAGGAGATGTCCCTGTGCTTCCACCTAGAAACAAAGACACAAAAAGGAAACGTGTGAATCTTTAAGTAAGACTGTGGAGTATCTGATCCATCCTAGTTTCCACATCCCTTAACCCCAACACCGTACACCTTACTTGGGTTATTTATATTGTAAACTCCTGTACAAGCTCATCAAGGAAGCATGGATTACTAGGGGTTAATTATCTATATTCATTCTTGCCTGTAGCATGAGGCACATGAAAGGGCCAGGTATTATGTTTTAGGTCTATAACCATTTTTAGTGACCGGTGGCTTTCCTGTTACGACCCGTCCATGTGGGATACGTACATGAAGTGACGGGTGGATGCTGTTTCCCTTCACAGAGTTAAACACATGTGTGACATTGCGTTGTTTCTCATTTCCTATTATATCCATATAAAATCCAGCGCGTTACCCTTTGTATAAGGTAAATGCTCTGCTCTCGTGCCCTCTCGGTGGGGTGCCAGGCCAGACGGGCAGGTGTGGGGCATGTGATGGTGAGACGGCTGCTTATTTCACCTCCCTTGATCATGGGATAAATGAGTCCTCAATCTACAGCCAATTGACCGAGAAGGTCAGTGATCGCTTTCCACCTGCAAGGAGACTGCGCCTTACCAGGCCTCATTAACCATATCACTGCCTGAGAAACTAATCCCAATGGTTAACTAATTAAATAATCATATTAACAAACCCTCATGTGCAAGCTTTACTATCCACACAGTATGAGTGAATTCTGAAGGATAGACCTCGATAGCATGGATTGCCTACCCCCACACTACTGGAACACAACTCTCACTGACTTCAGCCTCCTGGAGGCGTTTGGGAGACTGTTAATGAGAGCCACTGATCAAGCAGTTTAATGAGACAGACACCTTTATTCCAGCTACTCCATGAGATAGAACTTTTATCATGCAGTTTAATGAGACATATACCCTTATCCACACAACTAAATGAGACAGACTGTATTGGATTGCATGCCAGGCTGCCTGCCAATCAGGGAGGCTGGGCACTAAAGGGCAGACCATAGAAGGAACACCTTTTCAGAGCTTTCTGCAGGGTCCTAATGCTCTGAGCATAGAGCGAGCGTGTCTAATAATTTATTTTACAATTCAGAACGGTGGAACAGGACTCAAGAATATAGATTCTCTATAGCCAAATGTCTATACCACCTTCTTGCCTTCCCACCTTGTACTGCGCCTGCAAAGGGAAGCTTGATCTCCCCTCCTTCTTTTAAATGAGCCCTCACTGCCATCAACGCCTTCCTATTATGCTCCATTTCTGGGGGGAGAGGGAGTTCACAGCAACAAATTAAACAGGATCAAATCACGTGGACAGGGTCAGATTACGTGGACAGTATCAGATTAAAGGGACAGGGTGAGATTAAATGGGCCTAAACAGATTAAATGAAAAGGATCAGATTACGTGGACAGGATCAGATTACGTGGACAGGGTGAGATTAAATGGGCCTAAACAGATTAAATGAAAAGGATCAGATTACGTGGACAGGATCAGATTACGTAGGCAGGATCAGATTACGTGGACAGGGTGAGATTAAATGGGCCTAAACAGATTAAATGAAAAGGATCAGATTACGTGGACAGATCAGATTACGTAGGCAGGATCAGATTACGTGGACAGGATCAGATTACGTAGGCAGGATCAGATTACGTGGACAGGATCAGATTACGTAGGCAGGATCAGATTACGTAGGCAGGATCAGATTACGTGGACAGGGTGAGATTAAATGCGCCTAACCAGATTAAATGAAAAGGATCAGATTACGTAGGCACGGTCAGATTACGTTGACAGGATCAGATTAAATAAACAGGATCAGATTAAAGGGACAGCCCTAGATAAAATAAATGATGTCATATTAAATTAAGGAAATATTTTCATTGGTTAAATTCATAGATATACAATCAGTATGTGACTGAGTGGAGGAAAAATCTAGCTGGCATTTTCAGATGTGGCTAATCATGTGCTGTTTATTGGCGATCAATATTCCAGTTATGTAAACCCTTTGCTGCTCCAAAAGACAAATAAATCCACTTTTCACCACCTCTTCGTCTTTTTATTCTGTCTGTATTTTTTTTTTTTCATCCTTAACTGAAAGCATGGTTTTATAGCCTCAGCTGGCCGACAGATGGAAAAAAAAATATAGAAAATGTAAAAAAAATAAAAAATCCAGACCATTGTAATCCCTGTATCTGGAGCTCACCTTGCTGCTTCTGCATGGTCGTAAAATCTTCAAAGGTAAGAGTGCGGACGGGTGGCCTCCAGAAAGCGTACGTCTCCATGATGGCCTCCAGACCCGTGCTGGAAATGAGAGAATGATGAGACAAATGGGAAGCAGACACCATGTACACAGCACTCAATAAACGTCTCAAGCAGGTATTCTCCTGACAGCCCGTGAATAAGGTCTGGTGGTTCACTATGTAGACCATAAATTTCACTAGCACTCTGGGTTCATAGACTCTGTCTATCGCAGGAAAGCTGCACCCCCTGGAAACCCTATTCATTCTAATGCCACATTATCCAGAAATCTTTCACGCCTCCAAGAAAACCTCTCTATTCTATTCCTACAGGAAAGCCTTTCTGTAGCACACTTGCTGGATGTAGCGGAATGAACCTTGGACTGTTACCCTTATTCCTGCTATGGGCTGTCCGTATCTTGCCCCCCCCTGTTATTTCCTATGTTTCGTGCTCATAGTCCCTGGATCATCTTGTTTTTTTCCCTGTTCGTCTGGCAGTTCGTGAAAACAGCAGCTACCTCGCATATTAAAAGCAGCTTGTCCAACCACCGAACAAATTACCGAACGCCAGACCAACCATATATGGATTGTGCTGCTCGTTAACCCCAGTAACCTCTGTTCACACCTCCACCAACCACTATAACCTGAACATTCCAAGTGGTCGGCTGGGTGGCCGCTGTTCGTTTGTGCGAACACATGGCAGTGTCCATCTTTAGCCACGAGTCATCGAGTGCATGGAACTAAAATTGGAAACTCAATGGCACGAACACCGCTGGGACTTCCACCCTCAGTTATGTTCATAGGGATTCAGACTAACAGAGTGGCATTCGGGGGAGAAAACTCCCAAACAAGATACACAGAAAGAATGTCTGCACAAACAGTTCATGCCTTGTCTTTCGCCTATTTGATACTCCCGAAAGAGACCAACCGCACAGCCTAATTTCATGGAAGCTTTTTGGGCAGGCACCTTGTGTGCGGTCGGTCTAAATTATACCCCGCTGGCGTTTCGGCTGCATTTGTGGGATCTGAATGCTTTTTGGATTTATTGGGCGCTCAGAGGCAGGCTATCTGGGGATATAGGACTTGAGGGGGTATCTTGTGGTGAACTGTATGTTTTGGGGTGATTATTATTATACATGTCCTGGACCTGAGAGTTAATGTGTATTTTGTCTCAGTCTACTCTCTCAGGTTCAGTGGGGAATGCTCCTGGAATGTGTGTTTGGAAACCCCTTGCATGGGGATTCTCATAAAAGGCTGCGTATTAAAATGATTTATACCCCCAGAGCTGAGTGTTGTCCAGTTGCTGGGGAGGAGGTGGGAGATTCCTGGAGTAATTTTACTGTGTTTGGCTGTTCCCTTGGAGTATTCAACTTGTTCTTGAGTGTATGTTGGAGAAACCAGCGGAGTGTAGTCCCTTGAGTGTAGTCCCTGCTAGGACTAAGGTTCGGCTACACTTGAAAACCTCTCTATTACATTCATGCCTGAAAGCCATGCTATTCAACACCAGCCAGAAAACCATGCAGTTCCACGTCTACAGAAAACTGTGCATTTACACATCTACAGGAATGTTATCATATTCAATGGTTGCCGGAACACCTCGCTAAGTAATGCCTGCTGGAAAACCTCGCTATTCAATGGCTGACTGAACACCTCGCTATTCCATGACTGCAAGAACACCTTACTATTTCATGGCTGTCTCTGCTGGAAAACCTTGATGTTCAATGGCTGACAGAACACCTCGCTATTCCATGGCTGACAGAACACCTCGCTATTCCATGACTGCAGGAACACCTCGCTATTCCATGACTGCAAGAACACCTCACTATTTCATGGCTGTCTCTGCTGGAAAACCTTGATGTTCAATGGCTGACAGAACACCTCGCTATTCCATGGCTGACAGAACACCTCGCTATTCCATGGCTGACAGAACACCTCGCTATTCCATGGCTGCAGGAACACCTCGCTATTCCATGGCTGACAGAACACCTCGCTATTCCATGACTGCAGGAACACCTCGCTATTCCATGACGGCAGCAACACCTCGGTATTCAATGGCTGCCACTGCCGGAAAACCTCTATATTCAATGACTGCAGGAACACCTCACTATTTAATGGCTGCTGGAATACCTTGCTATTAAAAGGCTGCCAGAAATCTTTGCTATTCAATGGCTGCCACAAAATGTCACTAATCAATGCCTGGCAGAAAAATTATCTATTTAATGAAACACTTCACTGATGAAACACTTCACTAAACGCACTCTGACTGGAAAATGTCAATATATTGCACCAGCCAGGAAACATTTCCCACAACTACAGAAAACCTCACAATTCCACATCTATGGTAGCACCTCACTATTCCATACCCGCTGGAAAACCTTGTTAGTTCATGTTTGCAGGAAAACTTTGTTACTCTACATCTACCGGAAAATCTCCCTATTACACTCCGAAAGGAAAACCTCTCTACTCCAAACCTACCAGAAAATCTCCCTATTACACTCCGAAAGGAAAATCTCTCTACTTCACGCCAGAAAACCTTCATTTTCCTCTACTTTGGTGGAATTCTGCAAAAATAGCCGAACTTGAAGCATAACTGTGACCAAAGTAACCTTGCCACTAGTTTTTGGAGGGGCCTGTTTGCCAGCCTCCTGCCCTGTGACTATGGGCCCTGTGATAAACCTTGCTTACAAACCACTGTATGTGCACTTTTGGACTTGTATTGCCACACTTTGAACTTTCGAAGCAGCACAACCGCATGAACCAGAGACCACCCTGAAGCTTGTTAACACCTATTAACAACTTGGAACGTTTCTCACGGCAGTGTTCTAATTGTTCGTCTGGGTGGCCGCAATTCCTATGGACAACCACGAGGTGGCTGCCATCTTGTGCGCATGAACGCAGACAGCGGTGTTTGGGCATGAATCTCATGGAACTAAAATCGGACACAGAAACCCCCGAACACCATTGGAGTTCCATCGTCGCCTGCGTTTGTTTCTATACAACTTAGAAGGGCACTGTTCGGTGAAATCATTCATCTGGATGAGGGGAACAAGCTCCAGGGTAGAACTATTGACTCTGTTCGGTAGTTTGTTTGTTTTTTAAACTACCGAACTAGACTGACCGCAAGCAATGATTCTCTGGAACTGTTTTGGGCATGGGACCATGCCTGCGGTCGGTCAAATAAATGACTTCCAGGAAATTCCTGAACCCCTGAACTGATTTGGGTAATTTTTGGATATGTTGGTCACCCAGATCAGGGCTATCAGGGGATGAAAACATTTGTGGGGTTTTATGTATTTTTAGGGTACTTTTGGGGTGTTTTTAAAAAGTATGTTTTTTCTGTGCTTGGAGAGAGTTGGATTAGAATTAGTACAGTTACTGATCCAATTATCTCCCAGGCAGAGGGGAGGGATTGTATGTTTGTGTGGGAGTGTCATGCCTTGTAACCTTATTGTTATTGGTCTGTGACGTTGTAAATCAATCGATTGACGGAGGTACCCAGTCAGGGTGCCAGGCGGTCCGTCACAATAACTGTCTTAGCTTAGATGACTTAAATACAAACCAGCCCAATCAAAGTATGGTATTTTCCATGTGCCCTGTGCACTGTGACGGTGTTACTAATGGCAATTATTCTGCCATTGCACTCCTGTTATACATCTCTACTTCAGTTTGAAGGATACAAAATAGAGCTGTCCCCAGTGATATACCATATCAGAGGGAGAACTTGGCTTCAGCTTCAATCTGTTACAGCGGTATCCATCATGGGAATCTGGGTAACGTATGGATTGTTTATCCCTCCTGCATGCTTTAATTGCTGTGAGCAATGCTGGCTTTCCCTATCCGTACGTGTACCCAGAGCATCGTGGGGGAGCCATTTATGTCAATGTCAGTGCAGGATCTCTCCAGAAGCCACATTTTAGTTTAGCTTTGATCTCAGGCAAAAGGAAAGCCAATACAAACCCATGGGTCCCATAATATATATATAAAATCGATTTAATAATCGATTGTAAGTAACTGCAATGTGTGCACAGAATAATTCAAATGCAATGACAATGTTTGTACTTAGTGCCTGCATTGCTGCTAGAACACAGAAAGAGTTCATGTAATTATTAAACAGGAGCTAATACAGCACGGACAGCGTCTATATTACGCCTGGTTAATCTCAGTGTTGGAAGCAGCTGATTGGAGCTGACAAGGGAAGCATTTTTCACTCGGTAATTTGTCTCACTTTAAAAGATTCTTTCAGTTGTGTTTTTGTGAACTTGGCATTTTCCGGAGAACATGTTAAATGATGTCCCAGTGCTGAGCAGATTAAACCTCATTATAGATAACTGATGTCCACACTGTATCCCGCGCATGGGCAGATGGAGAGAAATGTGTTTGTGCAGGGAAACCAGCAGATTAAAGGCGGAATCTTGAAATGTGATTTTTGTAAAATATTCTAAATTTATTTTATCTGCCAACAGTTGTTCATAGCATCTGGAGCTTCCTGGCGCTGTGGAGCACTCTCACATCTTAACTGTGATTAAAGAAAAACTAAAGAATTTACCGTCAACTTTACAGAACAAACCCAACCTAGCTAACCACGCTCAGCAGAACCTTTTCAAGTAATCTTGTAGAGCCAAACAGTTTTATTGATTGCTGAGGAGCAGTACTCAGATCCCCCATGTTGTTGTGGAGCAGGACTCAGTTCCCTCATGTTTTTGCAGAGCAGGACTCAGTTCCCTCATATTGTTGCGGAGCAGGACTCAGTTCCCTCATGTTGTTGCCGAGCAGGACTCAGTTCCCTCATGTTGTTGCGGAGCAGGACTCAGTTCCCTCATGTTGTTGCGGAGCAGGACTCAGTTCCCTCATGTTTTTTGCAGAGCAGGACTCAGTTCCCTCATGTTGTTGCGGAGCAGGACTCAGTTCCCCCATGTTGTTGCGGAGCAGGTTTCAGTTCCCTCATGTTGTTGCGGAGCAGGACTCAGTTCCCCCATGTTGTTGCGGAGCAGGTCTCAGTTCCCCCATGTTGTTGCGGAGCAGGTCTCAGTTCCCACATGTTGTTGCGGAGCAGGACTCAGTTCCCCCATGTTGTTGCGGAGCAGGACTCAGTAACTCCATTTTGTTGGGGAGGAGGACTCAGTTCCCTCATGTTTTTTTGCAGAGCAGGACTCAGTTCCCCCATGTTGTTGCGGTGCAGGTCTCAGTTCCCTCATGTTGTTGCGGAGCAGGACTCAGTAACTCCATTTTGTTGGGGAGGAGGACTCAGTTCCCTCATGTTTTTTGCAGAGCAGGACTCAGTTCCCTCATGTTTTTGCAGAGCAGGACTCAGTTCCCTCATATTGTTGCGGAGCAGGACTCAGTTCCCTCATGTTGTTGCCGAGCAGGACTCAGTTCCCTCATGTTGTTGCGGAGCAGGACTCAGTTCCCTCATGTTGTTGCCGAGCAGGACTCAGTTCCCTCATGTTGTTGTGGAGCAGGACTCAGTTCCCTCATGTTGTTGCGGAGCAGGACTCAGTTCCCTCATGTTGTTGCGGAGCAGGACTCAGTTCCCTCATGTTGTTGCCGAGCAGGACTCAGTTCCCTCATGTTGTTGCCGAGCAGGACTCAGTTCCCTCATGTTGTTGCGGAGCAGGACTCAGTTCCCTCATGTTGTTGCGGAGCAGGACTCAGTTCCCCCATGTTGTTGCGGAGCAGGACTCAGTTCCCCCATGTTGTTGCGGAGCAGGACTCAGTAACTCCATTTTGTTGGGGAGGAGGACTCAGTTCCCTCATGTTTTTTGCAGAGCAGGTCTCAGTTCCCTCATGTTGTTACAAAGCAGAATGTGCTCAACCAGGTCTTGCTGGGCCGCACATTTCCAAACATTCTTTTCCAGTCTATTTTGCTGGGCCAAGCATTGTCAAAAATCTTGTAGAATACATTTTTGTGAATATTTCAAAATAGAACCTCATCAGCAGGTCTATAAAAACACAATGCTTTCACACAATCTTAAATAGCAGAACCCTTTTCTCCAGTCTTGCAGGGCTGTATGCTTTAGACAAATTTGCAGAGTAGTGCAATTTTGATCACAATTGGACCATTTTGCAGAGCATTTTTGGTCAGTCTTGCAGAGCGCAGTGTGCGACTGCTCATATTTCAGAACTTTATTATCTTCTTTGTAGAGCAGAACTTTATTGTGCCTTTTAGAAGAGCACTTTATTACCCACCGAGCAGAGCAGGGCTTTATACTTTACTATGTGAGTATTTATAGACCCGGCAGCCTTTCTAGTGGAGCCGGCAGATACACTGAAAGGTTATTTTAGGAGTGCTGCAGGCAATTATAGACGGTTTTTATAGACTGACTTTCTGCTCCATGTACTCTGCTTCCTATCTCAGAGGAGACAGCAAAATTGAATTTGACATATTCCGTTTAACCCTTTCTTCTAGTCCTCGTACTAATTCAAGTGAAACAAAACAGACCACGGGTGTTTTAAAAAGCGTCTGGCTATTCGTACGTCTCTACTTATTAATAATCGCAAGCGTTACAGTGCGCACAATGGATTGCTTTGGTTTTCCAAAGTGAATATTACTCATTCATAAAGTACATTTCATTCTATTCAGCAAGGAAGCTAAATCACTTCTACGAAAAGTATCCATTGAATTATACTTAAACAACATTAGAAAATGATGCACAAAGTAACAAATGCTTCATTCAACAGCCAAGTGTGGATCTAACGGGTGTCATGTGACCGATGTGTCTGATTGGTTAGTACCCTGGGTGTCATGTGACCGATTTGTCTGATTGGTTAGTACCCTGGGTGTCATGTGACCGATTTGTCTGATTGGTTAGTACCCTGGGTGTCATGTGACACAGTGTGTCTGATTGGTTAGTACCCTGGGTGTCATGTGACACAGTGTGTCTTATTAGTACCCTGGGTATCATGTGACACAGTGTGTCTGATTGGTTAGTACCCTGGGTATCATGTGACACAGTGTGTCTGATTGGTTAGTACCCTGGGTGTCATGTGACCGATGTGTCTGATTGGTTAGTACCCTGGGTGTCATGTGACACAGTGTGTCTTATTAGTACCCTGGGTATCATGTGACACAGTGTGTCTGATTGGTTAGTACCCTGGGTGTCATGTGACCGATGTGTCTGATTGGTTAGTACCCTGGGTGTCATGTGACCGATGTGTCTGATTGGTTAGTACCCTGGGTGTCATGTGACACAGTGTGTCTGATTAGTTAGTACCCTGGGTGTCATGTGACACAGTGTGTCTGATTAGTTAGTACCCTGGGTGTCATGTGACACAGTGTGTCTGATTGGTTACTACCCTGGGTAGCATGTGACACAGTGTGTCTGATTGGTTAGTTAGTGACTTGGGTGTCATGTGATAGTGTTTCTGATAAAGATGCAGTAACCAATATTGCCTACCAGGGATAGGAAGGCCAGAGGTTCAGTAATACTCCATACACCCATCATATGTCTGAGTATGTGGGAGTGAGGTTGATACCCATCCTGACATAATTCATACCTCTACCAATGACCTTATCAGTCAGCTGTTACCTCCTGCTTCACAAGAAACTACCGGAGTTCATGATGATCATTCAGTCACCATCACTACCTATAGTCAACCACAACTTTCACTCTCAGTCATACCATCCATTCTATTCTTTAGATTAATATAACGTATTTACATCTCACATCACATTCCTATTATGTTCCACATTTAAGGAAATTATGCCTCAAAAGAGGCAAATTTGAAGTAGCAGAGGGCTTTAGATCTTACCGGTTCCGTCCAGAGTCCCGAAATCCTTTGGCGAATGGATTTCTGTCAATTTTTAACCTCGTAATCTGGGCAAAAAATTTGCAGAATTATTCAGAAGCTTTCTGGATACTGAATAACAATATATGTAGGGGACTTGGGAATAGAAAACTGTGGGACTGAAGGAGTGTGTTCAGTACTCCAGAAAATGGGTAACTGACAAGGGAATAGAACATTCTAGAGCAAAATATCTAAAAAAAAATTCATGAAAATAGATAAAGCTATGTTTCTAGATTGGCAATGTTGGCACAAGATTTAAAATCACCTTTTCAAATCAACACCATTTCACACCTGATTTGGGAAGTCCCAAATCATTTCATTTGGATCCATGGCTTACCTGCTGGTTCTGGTACGCCGTCACAGTTGTGAAGACAGTCTCAGGGAAGTTGAAAGTTTTCACTCCGTCACCGGATGGGATTGGCTTTGTGGGTGATAACTCGCTGCTGAAATCCTTACGGATGACGTGGACCCGTGGCTGATATTTGTGCATTGAGTGCAGGATTATCTGTAAAAACCAAATGTGAAACTAACATTAACTCAAAGAAACGTTCAGAAAATTCTCCAAACTAAAAACAAAAACAAAAGCAAAAAAACAAAAAGAGCTAGACCTTTTGTAAACCCCTTAAGGACACATGACGGACCCAGTCCGTCATGCTGGGGAAGCTCTTAAGGACCAGTCCGGTAGTAAATAAATAAAATAGTACTCACGACTATTTTTTACCTGGCATTTTTATTATTCTGTTCTCCAAGATATCCTAGGTGGGGATTATACCACCAACACTGACATCAAAGAGCGGTTAGTCCGCTCTATACTTGTAAGTACTATTTCATTTATTCAGTACTGATATTTTATTACAGTGAGCACTATCAGTTGTTTTTATTTCCCCCTTTCCCGAGTGTTGAACTTTCTCCTGACGGATAGGAACTGCAAATCCCATAAGCGGGGATTATACTGCAATATTGGCTCCCTTCACTTTTGTCTTTCATATAAGTGGATTCACCTGGATAAAGATACCCTTGCTGAAGCACCTTACTTAACATTGGATTAAGTGAAACCCTTCCATTTGGCCTTTTTTATTGTGACTTATTATATATTTGGACTTCCATCTAATAAGTGGGAAAACTGTCTGGGACCTAATCATGCCTAATGATAATTTTTACAATAGTATCCCACTTCTAAAAATGCTGTCCTGCTTTAAGACACTATTCGGGAGAGTCGCACAGGATTCCCAATCCGATCAACTGATGCAGCCGTACTTGATCATGCAAAAGACCAGGACATGGTACAAAACAGTGGCCATATATATATAATGTAGACGGCAATCCACAATGCCTTTGTTATATTTAAAAAGTCAAATTCTGAGCTGAAATGCACCTTTCTTTCATTTCAGTTTCAGCTAATTTCTGGGCTGCTTGAGTGCCACAGAGGGGGACCATCAGTGGAGCCTAGCAGGAGAATGGAGGCAGGTCACTTCTACTTCAGGATTCCATCAACCCCCAAAAAGAACCCCCCCCCCCCAGAACAGGTGCAGGGTGTGTTATAAAAGGGGCGTAAGAGCTGAGACCAGTTATTACTTGTAACGGACCATTTGCCCACAAGAGGTTAAAAACCGTTTAGGCGATATTCCCCTCTCAGATGCACAGGCAGCTGCTGCAAGCACCAATCTCCCGAACTGCAAACACACGACTTCACCAACTCCCGAACAGGAAACTCACGAATACTGGAAGCAGCCGAACAGGAAAAACCATACGAAATGTTTACACTCCTGGCAGTCAGCATACAATCCAATTCCCCCAATAACGAGACGACACTTTGTTTGAGGGTTAAGCAGAATCTGGTTTACCGGGCTACCTGCCCGGCTTTTATGCAGGTATCCCACCTGGTGGACACTCCCCTAGTGGACCAGATGGGAAACTGGGAAACATATTGGCCCTTAGCCAATCACATACATACACCTTTAAACACTCCCACAATTACATCACAATCTCTCCTCTCTGTCCTGGAGATAATTGGGAAGTAATCCAATTATCTCCAAGGACAGAGGCAAACTCCATTACACACATTTTCAGTAAAAGACATTAAATTACACACAGTCACATTTATTACATAAAACATATACATCCTACCTATCCCCAGATAGCTTAGATCTGAGCGCACATTACAACCAAATGGCGCTCAGATCACATACATACAGTTCAATCGCCATGGAGCCAAAGTCTTTCACATAGTCTTTCGTTACACGAATAGGCTCCATGGCTTAGCTATCTGGGGTGATGCTGTTCATCCGGATAAACTACAAAATGAACAGTCATTCGGTTCCGCTACCGAATGGAGAGGTAAGAAGGCTGGCGGCTCAGCGGTGTTCGCGCCAATAAGTGTCCGTTTTCAGTTCCATAGTTTGGGCGCTGAACACCGCTGGCCGTTCGGGAGGTAAAAAGGCCGCTGCCACGTGTTCGGCAGACGAACAAAGGCCACCCAGCGGTCAATTGACGGCACACTCCATTTCCCAGGTGGTCCAATAATAAACATTTCAGTAGGGGAAATAACAGGGCTGAACTGCAGGGCCATAGTCTAAAGGGAGCAGGTGAGCAACCAGGCTTCTCCAGTGCATAGTGGCGGGGTTGGTTCCGCCACATTACTGCCCTGATTGCCCCTCTCAGCCCAGCCTATGTATTGCCCACTGTTTTAAAAAATTTCACACCCAGGCCAAATAAATAAGTAGATTGGTTTTGGGGTGTGATTTTAGTCATGTGGGGGTATCAATATGTATATAGTTTATATCATTTTAGTTATTATAAGTTAAAGATGCTGAAGACGTTCAGGCCAAGAAGGCTTCTAGTGTTAAATTAAGTTAGGGATTATAAAAAATTAACATTATTTAACGTTCATGTGTAAAAAGTTCAAAATGCTTAGGAAGTTCAGTGCCGAGGAGGCTTTCAGAATTCTGACAGTGGACTCAGAGGTGACAGGCAGAGTTTGACGCAGGTTTAAGCGGCGATTCATTTTTGCCCGAATGCAGCAGAAATACATGATTCCCCTAGCGTTGCCCATGATGCAGATGACTGGTTACTACCCCCTGATGAGTTTACCCCAAATATTTCCCCTTTCACAGCAAATAGTATGCACTTGTTCATAATTTGAATTGATGAGCTGCTTATATTTAAAAATAGATGTGGCCTTTGAGAGGTAATTTGCAATCATGTGCTGCTAAAATGAGACTTAGGCCCTGCATCCGCTTTTGAAAAATATGAAATTGGTGTGTCTCAAACTTTCCATTTCATCATCCATATACACCCTGGGATATCTACTTTAAAAAAAATGGTAGGCTTTTGTAGGGTAGTTTGGGCTAGCAACTTGCTAAAATGCTCCAAAATAGGATGTGGACCCAGCATCAAAATTCAGAGTTTGAAAAAAACTGAAATGTCAAATGTACACATGGGGTATTGCTGTACTCAGAAGACATAACTGAGAAACATTTTAAATGTTATACTGCCGTAGCACTCGTGAGGATTGCAAATTATGCAGAAACATATAAACTGCTTATTACCACTACACTTGGTATGTACTACCTAAAAAATGGTCCCACACTAAGATTCAAAATATGCTATTTGTGATACCCTGAGGTGTCTTCACCAATATCATTTATGAAAATTTACGCTTAAAATCTGAAATGGTCACGTCTTCACAAGATAGTGTCTAGGTCATACATTGGGGAATTATTTTATTTAAAAGATGTTGCAGGGCATAATTTGGGGGATTTTATCACAGTGGCACACATACGATTTACAAAATACTCATCAGAAATGCCATGTGTATGTAAAAGAATGCAAAAATATTATTTTACTACAAATATTGACATAAACTGGTGGAAAAAATAGCAGCACGTTAAGGCACAATATACACCATATGGGATACCCTGGGGTGTCTACTTTCACAAATGGTAGGCTTTCATGGGGTAATTTGAACAGTCAAACTGCTACAATGCTCTAAAATGAGACATAGGCCAAAAATATTATCAATGAAAATTCACACGTAAAAAGCTGAAATGGTGTGGTCTCTAATATGGCTCTGTAACTTCACAAAACATTGTCTAGGTCATACGTGGGGGGTATTGTTTCATTCAAAAGATGTTGCTGGGCATAATTTGGGGGATTTTATCACAGTGGCACACATACGATATACAAAATAATCATCAGTAATGCCATGTGTATGTAAAAAAATTATTTTACCACAAATATTGACATAAACTGGTGAAAAACTGCGGCACGTTTAGGCACAATAAACACCATATGAGATACCATGGAGTGTCTGCTTTCAAAAATGGTAGGCCTGCATGGCGTTATTTAAATGGTCAAACTGCTATAATGCTCCAAAATGACATATAGGCCCATCAAACCAATCTATGAGAATTCTAACTGTAGAAACAGAAATAGCAAGGTCTCGTATAGGACACTGTAACTTCACGAGACAGTGGCAAAGGCATACATTGGGGGTATTGTTTTACAAAGAAGATGTAGCTGAACACAATGTGGGGTTTTGTACACATCAGGTTTACAAAATACACATTAAAAAAAACTTGTTTTATATGTGTATGTTAAAAATCTGAAAAACACAATTTTACTATAATATAAATGTAAAAAGTGTCAAAAATGGTAATGGTAAATAGCCTGAGATGTTTACTTTATATAAATATATATTTTTGTGTTGCAATTTTGTTTTCTGTGAAGACTATTAAGCTTACAAGACAAACATACCAAATTCTAGAATTGTTCCACATTGAAATTTTATTTACTCCTTGTAGTTTGTGACCTGTAACTACAAAAAGTATACTGAAATCGTAGACATATTATGTACTCTGTAAATCAGGACAAATAAATGAATTTATTTTAAATGACTTTTCTTAAGTTGTACTAATTATGTACACAATATTATTGCCAAAACTGTGAGAAAACCCCTTTAAAAAACAGTATATAATATGTATTATTAAAAATGGCTTGTGTCCTTAAGTGAAAGACAAGCTTCTGAAGCTGTGTCCTTAAGGGGTTAATGCGATATTTCAATTCATTATGTATTTAATTCTTGACTTATGTCAGGCAGGGAGTAACAAGAATTGTGCTGTTGCAGTTGCAATTTGATCTGTGTTTGTTTTTTTTGTTTTTTTACACCCGGGTTATGGATCTTTCATTCAATTATTAGTTTGTGTACAGTCCAATGCATCTTATTAGAGGTATATGAGGTATATCCATGGACCTGCCAATGAACTTACAATCATACGAGTAAATAAGTGCTCAAATCAATCATTCCTAGTAATGTCTGACCCTTAGGTGCATTCGATGAGGAGAAAAGAAACACAAATTAGTTGCTTCTAAAGCAAGTCCCCCAAAACCCCACAGCCTCTTTATCCATAAACGCAACTTACGTGGCCTTGATCGTCCAGTTCATTGTTGGTGAGTTTGAGTTTGTCAAAACTGACCACCTGCCTCATCCAAGTGTCACCTGATGCTAAGGAGTCTGGGTGGATATAAACACGCGGGGGAACTGGGGAGTCTGCATTCCCGGCAACCATCCACTTGGAGCTGTGATAGACGTATCTGGGTGGGAAGTGATATAATTACTAGAAGGTACAATGGGGAAACCAGTGCTGAGTGTAAAACAAAATGATGGGTTATTCACAAGGGAACTGAAAAGATTTGTCCAAAATCGCCTAAATGGAAAAATAGCCTATTGTTATTTTTCAATTGTTTTTAGACAAAATTTGCAATTATTTATGTTTCATAAACAAATAGCTCTGCGTGGATTTTCATTTACATTTCATATAAATAATTTAGTAATTAATACTTCCTATAATTAGTTCCCAATATCCCAGTGATGATAAATGTAACTTATATTACAACCAGATCTCCGAGTGTCCCCTGTAAGGAATAATATTGTACCCCTAGAAAGTTACCTGTATCTCTTATTATCCACCGGTACGATATCCATGGCAATATAATATTGGTGATGGGGATCCAGGCCAGAGATTTTCACTCGCATGGCTGGGAACATCCTCCTAAGAGACAGTATAAGAAGCTGATGATACATTAATAATCAGAATAATTACAGAAAATATCATTCCTACACCAGGAGGCCAACATGTGCCCCGTAACATAAACCACTTCTAGGGACACATCGTGCGTAGCACGGTCTTTATATCATATTATATCTGTTTGATATTTGAATCAAAAGATACGTTGTTTTGAAGTATACTGGATAACTTGCGTACCATTTCTATGTTTTACAAGTAATTAGGGATTGTGTTAGTAGGTTTGTGGATTTGGTTCCACAATTATCTTCATTTTTAATATTTGCTCTGTGGATTGCACTGACCTACTTTATTTGACATATTTGATATTTTTAAATATATAGCATATAACACACAATTACTGTCACTCTACCTAACTGGCACATGCTTTGATGCCTCGGTGCCTGTGTATAAACTATTAACCAAGAATAGCAGCACTCACATAATTTTCTTTTATTTACACACTAACACGTGACAACTACCTTTGTGACCGATGTTTCGGATCCTCCATAGGCCTTTCTCAGGACAAAAGATGATTATCCATTGGAGAAAAGTCCTGTGAGTGCTCCTATTTCTGGTTAATAGTTTATATACATAATGGCAAAAAGAAAACAAACACAGCATAAAATAATAAAAAAATCAGCCACTAAGTCACTATCTGCAAAATGATTGTAGATCTAATGGTTTTAGATATGATTCTTCAGAGGGAGCCTTGGTGTAACTGTCTCCCAGAATGAGTTGTTGGCAAAAAGGAGACAATGCAATCTCAAAGTCTCAGAGTAAAGAGCAATACCAAACAGTGCCGTATGGACATATGTAAATAACAAAATTATAAAAACATTTAAATACATAAAGGGAATCAACACAGTAAAGGAGGAGACTGTATTTAAAAGAAGAAAAACTACCACAACAAGAGGACATAGTCTTAAATTAGAGGGACAAAGGTTTAAAAATAATATCAGGAAGTATTACTTTACTGAGAGGGTAGTGGATGCATGGAATAGCCTTCCAGCTGAAGTGGTAGATGTTAACACAGTAAAGGAGTTTAAGCATGCGTGGGATAGGCATAAGGCTATCCTAACTATAAGATAAGACTAGGGACTAATGAAAGTATTTAGAAAATTGGGCAGACTAAATGGGCCGAATGGTTCTTATCTGCCGTCACATTCTATGTTTCTATAAAATATCAGTATAAAATACAGCTCACCCACTGTGTTTAGGTTGACTTTTCCACACTAGTCGGTTAATTTTACTACAGGTGGTGGGTGTTTTCTAACTGTATTGCGCAATTTTGAGTTTATTTTACCCGTACATGCATTTTTTAATATAGTTTATTATGGGAGTGCTGTACGCAATGTTTAGATTGTTAAAATAATAAAACAGATATATTTTACAACAATGTTATGACTTCTGCATTATTTTGGATCTCTGCCACCATTATTGTTTGGTAAAAAGCCCAAATGATCCTGATGACACTCCTGGACAGCGGCACAACATATGAAATAAATACATAACTATGTCCGTCTTCTGCTCAATTATCAAAATTTTATGAAAAAAGACAATATGTTTTGGATATGAATTTTTCAAGGATTAAAGGAGCACTATAACTCATTTTCATGGCATTATAGGGTCATTAGGTCCCCCCCCCTTACCCTCAGGGCCGCCCTCCGGCTGGGCTGAAGGGGTTAAAACCTCTTCAGCTACTTACCTTTCTCCAGCGCCGGGCTCCCTCTGTGCTGGGGAACTCTCCTCCCCCTGCCAATGTCAGATCTGAATGCGCATGCGCAGCAAGAGCCGCACGCTCATTCAAACCGCCCATAGCATTACTCAATGCTTTACTCAATGCTTTCCTATGGACGTCCAGCGTCTTCTCACTGTGATTTTCACAGTGAGGCTCGCAGAAGGCGCCTCTAGCGCCTTAATGTAAACATAGCAGTTTCTCAGAAACTGCTATGTTTTCAGCTGCAGGCAGGGCCGTCTATAATATGATTAGGACCCTAGGCAATGCATTTTCTTGGGCCCCATGGGCCCTGTCCCTGCCACTGCCTCACCCCCCAATTACGTCCAACCCGCAATCACACTGACAGACGTACTGGCACATACACACACAGACAGACATTAAAACATTCACAGATACATACTGACACACACAGTCACTACACACAAATATATACTGGCAGATATACTGACACACACACAGACATACATACATACATTCATACACAGACACATACATTAACAGATATACTGACACACACAAACACATACACTGACAGATATACTAAAACACACAGACACATACACTGACAGACACATTGACACACACACACAGGCATACTGACATACACACTGACACGCACACACACGCATACTGACATATACACAGACAGACGTAATGGCTGATACAGACAGACATTAAAACATTCACAGATATATACTGACACACACATACACTGACATACAAATATATCCTGGCAGACATACTGACACACAGACATACATACATACACACACAGACACATACACTGACAGACATACTGACTGACACACACATACACACACAGACATACTTACTTACATACACACACAGACATACTTACTTACATACACACACAGACATACTGACACACACACAGACATACTGACATACACACAGACAGACGTACTGGCACATACACACAGACAGACATTAAAACATTCACAGATACATACTGACACACACATACACTGACACACAAATATATCCTGGCAGACATACTGACACACACATACACACACACACACACACAGAGACATACCTACATACACACACAGACATACTGACACACACACAGACATACTGAAACATACACACACAGACATACACACACAGACATACTGACACACACACACAGAGACATACTGACACACACACACAGACATACACACACAGATAGACCTACTGACATACATTTAGCCACCCTCCAGGTTCTTACCTTTTCCTGGAGGGTGGTTTCCCTGGTCCAGTGGCAGGCTGAGGTAGATGGGAGTTCTCCTCTGGAACTCCCCTCCTCCCTGCCTTCCTCCTCCCACGCGGCCATTATCTCCGGTGGGAGGAAGTGACGTCACTTCCTCCCAGCCGGCTGCAGAACCGGAAGAGGGGCCCGGTCGCGCTGTTTAAGCGCCACAGCGCCCGACCGGGCCCCTGCTGACACATGCTCCCCGGGTGGCCCTTAGTGCATGGGACACCCGGGGAGCCTCCTCAGTGTGCGGGAGCCGCACCGCCCGGTCCAAAGGGGCTGCGCAAATCGCTGGGTCCACAGAGCAGCTGCTCTGGGCCCCCAGGAGCAACTGGGCCCGGGGCAGCTGACCCGTTTGCCCCGCGTTAAAGACGGCCCTGGCTGCAGGGTTAAAACTAGAGGGACCTGGCACCCAGACCACTTCATTGAGCTAAAGTGGTCTGGGTGCCTATAGTGGTCTTTTAATATGAATATATATAGCTCCTTGAACATGTTTTGAATCATACTGATTGTGATGAGCATTCTTTAATACTTTCTCTAATGCTGATGGCTGCTCACCTGCCGGCCTTGGTAATGATCATCTCTGTGCCAATGTCATGGAACCTCTTCCACAAGTCGGCACACTGCAGCTCCACCTGAATCTCGTCCATGGAAGACACCGAGAGGGCCTGGGGATCAGGAACCCGGGATGGGGCAAGGTCTGGACATGACTCATAGGAGCAGGATGTCCTCTCAGCCAAGACCTCCGTGTCCGAGCTGGTGCTATGCTCCGAATCTGCAGAGGAAGCACAGGGATTGGTCAATCCGGAAAATATGTGTGCATGAGTCCTGACTGTAAAGGACACTGTCATCAACTTTGTATTTCTCCATTTTTAACAATGTATTACATTTAATGAAACAATATATTTTTTTAAATAATATATATTGATCTTTTGAGAAACTTTTTTTATCTGGCTGAGCGGCCATGTTGAGTGAGATTCTACTTGCTGCTGCTGTGATTGGTCTGCCTGCCTCCTGTGCGTGTCTCACGGTGTAAATGGCTGCCCAATGGGGGAGGTTTATTTAACTGTCATGTTATGAAAAGTTGTAAAAACGGAGCAATCAGCAATGGAATGTAGTAACTGAGTCCACTGGTTTCCATGGTAACAGCTCCACCTTTAAAACTTTACATCAGTTTTTGGAGCTGAACGCTTTGATGAATTCCCCATTGGATCTCCTTCCGAGTTTGGTAGTTTCAGTTACGCCCCAATAAGCTCAAGACTTGACCATGACGCCACCAGGCGAGAGCAAGAAAGCTTTCCTTCATTTCTCACTGTGAAAAGGCTGTTTAATTATTTGCAGTTGCCCCGTGTCATAGTCACTGCCTCCCCTCTCCATTCCTCACATATGAGCGCTGTCTGTTTCTGTCCAGTTACAGCTCGTTGTGCCTGTATCACGTTCGCAATGTGTGAATGGTCAGGGCTTCATTATAACAGTAAAAATGCTACTGAATATCTGTAATTCTCTCACCATAAAATCTATTGCAGCTTTCTAACTACCTCCGGCCGTGCGTCAGCCATTACATTAGACTTGTACATTGCCTTTCCAACTCACATTCTTTGCACCAATAGAAACTTGTTTTATTTTAACCCTGAACGTTAGCAAATGACTTTATTGACATAACCATGGAAAATGCAATTATCCCACTGATTAAATGTGAGGATAAAACCCGTGTGCGTTAAAATAAACATCTGGAGCCATTTACTGACTGTCTGAGATCTGACTGTACACTGGTTCTCCACTAGCCTGCTTGGAACATGGCTGCGATTCTGCAAACAATTAAATGGATGACATCTGATAAATATTCAGGCGCTAACTCCCTGCGGAATATAATAGACATATTCTCTTGTTCCACAGCGTTCAAGGAGTTGTCAGAGATTTACTTTTTCTTAGTGGTGGGATCACATTCCATTCAATTGAGGATATTATAACCATATATTCTACGCCACTCATTCAGTGCCAGGGTAATGTGAATTCCCAGAATCTCTCTTCTGCAATCTGTGAGATTTAGCAAATTGCTGGCTTTTACTCTGCTACCCATGGCGTATTTACTAACGATAATATACTGAGCATTCCGATAAAAACATGAGATTGTATGTCAGACACCCCAAACAGACACAGATCGGCTGGGATCTTATTTGGGACTCCCACCATGCAATGACCGCATGACATAAGAAGGACCAGCCTTGGAGGTGAGTGACCTCTGTGATAACAAATGGAGAACAGGGAGGTGCACTGCCAGTGACAGAGACACCATAGTGGATTTATAGAAATGTAGGTGATTTATTATTCTCACAATGCACAGTCAACCCAGAAACCCAGATGGACACACTTTGGAGGGACAGTCCCACTTTCAGGGTCTTGTCCCACTGTCCTAACTTTGTTCCCTGGCATCCTGCTTTTGGAGACACGAGGGAACTGTATCCAAAAAAGTGCCGCACTAGCGCCTCATTAAATGGACTTGATTGGCAGACAGTGTGGCGTGCGTTTATGCCAGAACAACCTGCTAATTCTGTGTCTGGAGCGCATCCGTTTCCTGGTGGTGCTCCATCTTTGGGAAATGTCTCTTTTACCCCACCCATAGGGTCACACTGACACTGTGCACACAACGATCTTACAGACAAACAATGACATGCAATCAGAATGACTGTACACACAGAAACCCTCACATCCACCAATACTGCGCAAATCATAACCTTTTCATTTATTTAGTAGACAATTGTGGGATTAACAGACACACACAAACCATCTTAAGTAATGAATGTGTTTTTTTGTGAGATAATGACAGTTTTTAACAGTAATAGTGGGATGGTGGACATTGGAAGGGTCACTCACACGGTGCAGGCACTGCCGATAACGCAAGAATTAACAGCTTCTGTGATGCTATAAAGGGCTTTAGACCACAATCTATTGTCTCACACGAAGGCAGGAAAACACCTTGATTGGGAGTGGGTCTATGTGTTTGTATTTATGCACACGTTTACTATAGAAGTGAAATATTTGACTAATTAAATTGTTTGATCTACAAACAGAGAATGTGTTCGCTGTGTATAAGTCGTGTTAACAGAACAGTCGTTTTTTTTATAAAAAGTTCATCTATATTCGTCTGACCACTATTAATAGGGAACAGTTGGATGACACATTTTCAGCCATAATGCTTGGAATGGGGAATATCATGTCTTCACACACAGTGTTGGTATAGGGGGGACATTTTCAGCCATAATGCTTTGAATGTGACATACCATGTCTTCACACACACAGTGCTGGTATTGGGGGACACATTGTCAGCCATGATGCTTGGAATGTGAGATACCATGTCTTCACACACACAGTGCTGGTATTGGGGGGACACATTGTCAGCCATAATGCTTGGAATGGGGGAGACCATGTCTTCACACACAGTGCTGGTCTAGGGGGGGACATTTTCAGCCATAACGCTTCGAATGTGAGATACCATGTCTTCACACACACAGTGCTGGTATTGGGGGGACACAATATTTAGCCATAATGCTTGGAATGTGAGATACCATGTCTTCACACACACAAAGATTGTATAGAGGGGACATTTTCAGCCATAACGCTTGGAATGTGAGATACCATGTCTTCACACACACAGTGCTGGTATTGGAGGACACATTGTCAGCCATAATGCTTGGAATGGGGGAGACCATGTCTTCACACACAGTGCTGGTATAGGGGGGGGGGAGATTTTCAGCCATAACGCTTCGAATGTGAGATACCATGTCTTCACACACACAGTGCTGGTATTGGAGGACACAATATTTAGCCATAAAACTTGGAATGGGGGAGACCATGTCTTCACGCACACAGTGCTGGTATTGGGAACACATTTCCAGCCATAATGCTTGAAATGGGGGAGAGGGGAGACCATGTCTTCAAACACAGTGCTAATATTGGGGGACACTTTTTCATCAGACAGACGCATGGTGCTAGGATTAGAACTGAGCTTCTATATAACATACGTATATCCTTGGGTAGAACATTGGCTTAAAAATAGAGTATAGAGAGTTGTCATAAATGGTAAATTTTCAAGCTGGACAGAGGTGGCAAGTGGTGTCCCTCAGGGGTCTCTTCTGGGACCCCTTCTATTTAACATGTTCATAAATAATCTTCAAATAGGCATTGAAAGTCATGTTTCAGTGTTTGCAGATGACACCAAACTTTGTAAAACAATACAATGTGAGCAGGATATTACTTTGCTGCAGAGGGATTTAGATAGACTGGGGGACTGGGCACTCAAATGGCAGATGAAATTTAATGTTGAAAAATGCAAAGTTATGCACTTCGGCGTAAAGAATACACAAGCAACGTATACCCTTAATGGAAGCGAATTAGGGATAACAACACACGAAAAGGACTTGGGAATTGTTATAGACAACAAACTACAGTATGCAAAAATGTGCAATGTCAATCAGCAGTGGCCAAGGCCAGTACGGTATTGTCATGCATGTAAAAGGGCATTCATTCTCGGGACAAGAATATAATTTTGCCTCTTTATAAATCACTGGTAAGACCCCATATTGAATATGCTGTGCAATTTTGAACACCTGTTCTAAAGAAGGATATTATGACACTAGAAAAAGTGCAGAGGCGGGCTACAAAATAAAAGGAATGGAACATATCGGCTATGAAGAAAGGTTAACAAATTTAAATCTATTTAGTTTAGAAAAACGTTGCCTGAGAGGGGATATGATAACATTATACAAATATATTCGGGGCCAATACAAACCATTGTGTGGAAATCTATTCACAAACCGGACTTACATAGGACATGAGGACATGCGTTTAGACTGGAAGAAAGAAGATTTCATCTAAGGCAAAGGAAAGGTTTTTTTTCTGTAAGAACAATAAGGATGTGGAATTCTCTGCCTGAAGAAGTGGTTTTATCAGAGTACGTACAGATGTTCAAACAGCTACTAGATGCATACTTGCAAGAACAGAATATTCAAGGATATAATTTTTCAATGTAGGGTAATAACTGCTTGATCCAAGGATTAATCTGACTGCCATTCTGGGGTCAAGAAGGAATTTTTTTCCTAGTTAGTTGCAAAATGTGAAGTGCTTCAGACTGGATTTTTTATTTTTTTGCCTTCTTTTGGATCAACAGCAAAAAACAAATGTGAGGAAGGCTGAACTTGACGGACACAAGTCTCTTTTCCACCTATGTAACTATGGCCTTATGGTTACTGGCAGCAATAGGCTTGTTTGTTAGTTTTTACCTTGGCAGCTCATATTCAATTCCTTGTTTGGACAAAATACATTTTCTTTTTTATCATGATTTTTGTTAAATCAGACCAAGCTAATCATTGGCCTCGATTTAATATTTTTGGAAAAGCTTTTCAAATTATCACATTCTGTTAGAAAAAAAAACCTTTAGATTCATTTTATTTACAAAAGTCAACATTGAAGTCTAGGGGAATTTTTGTAGATAAATCATTTAAAAAGTTTTCCTAAGTGATTGTGATCATTTTAAAAGTGTATCCAAAATAAATAAATCAAGGCCATTGTTTGAGATATCGGATGTTTATATATTATTTAACATGCACCAAAACAGAAGAAACTGAACTCATGCAATCTTAGACATTTATTCCACGGAAAGTAAGTAAGTAAATCCTGCAGTTTGTCCAGGTTTCAATAAGGGTATTTACTAAATATTTGAAGATAATATACACATATGGCATTTGAGTTCGAATTTACTAAAAACAAATCACTTCCGGAAAAAATATCACAATGCGGGGATTTGAAATCACGACTCTATGAACCTGCTGAGCACACGAACGGCAAGAATAGAAAGCATTGCATTAGAAAAATTGAACTTAATTACACTTC